CGTATCCATCTTTCTATTTTCAGCTTATCCAGACACATTAGGCTGTTTAGAACATCAAATATCATGTCTGATAGTTTTACTTAGGAAGTATTACACGTATAGTTAATACTACTCATACTTTTCCATACTCTTGATCAACAACATCCTCACCTTTTGTGAACGAGTATATTAAATCATATTTTCAAATAGACATGATGGGTTTGAATGTACTACACGTTATTGATTTCCGATACGGGCAATTTTCAAATAATATTTGTCAGTATATCAGCTCTGAATATTACAATTTATTTAAGTATTATTTTAGAAGAAGTATCTGTTTAATAAAGAAGCTTAGTGATTCACATTCATATAATGAACATGAACTGCAACCGAAGAAAATAGTATTTTAAACAAGATTTTTAAGTAGATATCACTGACGTTTTTGTTAAAATTTTAAGAATAAATTGGTTTTTATGAAATGATGATGGGATCAGAAATGGGAATTGATGCAGAACACAGCAAGTCGTAATCTACCTTTACCTAACTCAAAATAATGTCTGTAAACAAAATTACTCATGATAACTTTGGTCATATTCAAATAGTGACTGAGTCGAGGATGCAAATTGTAAAATTCTCGCGGTTTCAACCCTCCAGTCAACTTATTTGTACATTTACACAGTATATATACAACTCTTTTAAAGAATGGTTAGAAACACAAAACGTTTGACACTAAATCTATTCAATGCATGCAAAAAAAATCCTAAACAGAACTAAATAGTTGTAGCCTAGTTTACAAAATAGACTGACGTTATCTTAACTACAGTTTAAACTCACGGATTATTGGATATTTGATTTTGTCATTATGATACAAATTAGTGGTATACAAAAGTGATTCCATCAATGGTCAAACCCAGTGTCTTCACACCAAGAGGCACGGGCATTACATTCAAACCAATTTTTTGATATCCAATGATTTACTTTCAAGATTCAGCCAGTTATTAAAGTTATCTGCATGAGGAATTGTGGAGATTCTAGTATTTTCACTGTTGAAATCACGAGTCAACACAGATTGTACTCCTGTGGTAACGGGTGTGAGACAATTATCCACTTAAGGCGATTGAAGAAGGGTTGTGGAAGATCATGGATTGATTTAAGTTATTCAATAACACTTTTGGATGTCGGAGATTAAGCAACCGAGCGCGATACCGAAAACTCTTAGTTCAATTTGTGTGTGAAAAATCGTGGATGAGCACTTCTGAGGAGTCTCATACTATGCCAAAACGGCCGTTCAGTCGTTTTAGGTGTTTAGTGAGGCTTATCATTGAACTGTTCATGATTATAATGATAATCTGTAAGTGTCTGATATATTACATTTTATGTATTTTACCTAAAATTTGCATAAACACATATTTCTCAGTTGTCTGAAAATCATCTTTGCTTACAACTAAATAAGTACAAAGCGATTCTCGACAAAATTTATAGAAAACTTTATACAAAGTATATTAAACGTTTAAGTGCGCTATCTGTTACATAATATTTGGTAAATTACTGCATATACTATTAATATAAGAAGGGGATTTTGCGGATATTATAGTAAATTTAATAATTGACTCATGATCTCAACTATTAAAATTACTATAATATCCACAAAACCCCCTTCTGATATTAATCAACATATGCCCACTAGTGACTGGCTACAAGAGGCATTTCCTGGAGTTTTAGTGAGAAGCCATGACCAGCAGAGTTCAACCAGGTCTGTTGTGAGATAGCATCTCTCTGAAGACAATGGTAGATGTGTCACTCAATTTCGTGGATTAGTTGAAGTTAGACATTAACACCGGTGGATGCCGGCTTAGTTGTCTAGAGGTTAAGCGCTAGCCCACGAAACTGATAAGTTCTGGGTTCCAGCCTCGTGGGTCGGGATCGTATATGCGCACTGCTGAGGAATCCCACAATAGGTCGAAACGTCCATCCAGTGCCTCCAGGTTTTCCATGGTGCTCCAGCTTCAATTGACTCATGATCTCAACTATTAAGATATACTATTAAGTCTCCAAAATGTTCATGATTTTAGAAACTCCACGTCAAGTAATGTTTTGGAGATAAAATAGTTATATCTTTTATCTATTTGATAATTCAGTCCGAATGTGACTCAAAAAGAATATTCTTAAATAGTCCGTTTATAGCTTTTAGCTTTTACTGTTCAGTTTAAACATAAGTTTTCTTTCAGCTGTTATAAATAATTCACATTTGATTTAACTAAACTATCTTATAATAATTAAAATCTAACGTTGGTAATGATAACAATAAACATGAAGTTAATTAGGATTTATGGACTATAAATATGGTTAGAGTTTTGCAAAATTCTAATTAGATATACTTTTTTCTTGTAAAAAACATTCGGAATTCCGATTCTCAATCCAATGAATATTTCACCATTCCAGAGTTTTAATAAAAATGTGTTATTCACATATTGTAATGATGTTTTCTAAAACAGATATATACTAAATTCTCAAAATTACTGAAGTTTATCTTTGTAAGCAAGTCCAAAAATGTTATTGTTACTTTCGCTTACTTGATATTCCAAAAAGAACTATGTACATTCAATCTATAGAGAAAAATTAGATAAAAAATATCTTAAAAAATAAAATGAAGAATAAATTCGAATGTCCTCATTTTAATGTTAGTTATTACAACAAGAATTAAATAGCCAATATCGTTAGGACAATGAAATTTTCAAGGTGAATAGATTTCAATAGTTTTTCCGTGACTGAATTAAAAACAAAACTGAAATATTTCACTATACTTAACAGATGTAGGGATTTTCGAATTAAAGTTGACGAATTTTAAATTTATTCGGCATTTAGTTTAATTAAGGAATACTTGAACTTCTAAATTACGAAGTATTTACAGTTGAGGTCATAGATCTACTTCACTGTATCATTAGTTTAATGAGCATGCAACACTCGATTTTCCTGAATCTCTAAATTTCTCATACTTTATAAGCGTTTCATTTTTCTAATTGTTTGGTTAAATGTGAATTGAGTAATTCAATAAACAAACAAAGATTCATCTATTTCATATTTTTATGCTGAGAAAATTAATTCGTGCTGTGGGAGAGAACAAACCAGATTCCAGCGGAGGAAGAAATAAGGAAGAAGTGCTGGAAGTGGATAGGACACACATTGAGGAAAGCACCCAACTACGTCACAAGGCAAGCCTTCACATGGAATCCTGAAGGTCATAGGAAAAGAGGAAGACCGAAGAACACATTACGCCGAGAAATGGAGACAGACATGAGAAGAATGAACAAAATTTTGATAGAAATAGAAAGGAAGGCTAGAGGACTGATTGGGTTGAAGATTGTCTGTCGGCGGCCTATGCTCCATTGGGAGTAACAGGCGTAAGTAAGTAAGTAAAATCAACCCAGAATAAATATTCATTCAAATATATTCATTAGCCATTTAACATAACATTTATTTTTGCATTCAGTACTGAATCTAAAACTTAAACAAGAATTCAAAGCTATACTCAATGATCATAAAAAAAGAAGAGACAATTTTTTATGAAGGACGTTTGAGTGATATCAAAGTGATATTGTGAAAATTCAACCAGTTACTAGTGTTAAAATATGGTTAATAACTAGATTGAGGAATCGGGAATGGGAGATAGAATTAGAAGTTACGGTTGAAGATTACAGTTAGGTTTTTCATCATCTACTGATATCGGCTATAAGGCTGAAATGTTATTCAGCCTTATGGAGTAATGAATTTCTCACCCAAAATCTAAGTATCTCTGTCTTAAGTCTGATTGCTTAATCTATAAAGGAATTTATTTTGGTCGAATTCCTTTATTTACTTATAATCATATGCAACCTGCTCAGAGAAAATAATGGGCTAAAATGTATTCAAACTGTAAGTAATTTCACACAACTGAGATTCTAATGAATGTCACCTGACTGTACTGTAAAAATAAGTTTTTGTTTAACGTTACCAAGATTAACTTAAAATGTAATACTCAATAAAAAAAATGACCTTTTTTAATTGGTTTAACTAAGATCTCACAAACCCGGCTTCATTCTTCACGTGCGCTTACACCTTTTTTAGATGGAGAAAGTATTCAAAACAAGATTTTAAGTGTTCATCTATTGTGTTGCGTCCTTCAAAATGATAATTTACTTTTGACTAAATCATGTCACTCTGTGTTCGATATACTAAAACTTGTTTTCTGAAGTAAATTCGAAATTTATACAAAAACCATGGAAAGCATAGTATTTTAGTATATTGATGAATAATTTACATTAGTTTTGAAAGATTTCAACTCTAAAACGAAGTAAAGATATGTAGTTTATCGAATCAAGGAGCTATGAAAAGTTTGTTATGTCAAGTGAAATGCACCATATCACCATGACAGATAATATTAGACAAGACAAAGTTACTCACCTAAACGATATTGGATAACTGTCACATTTTTTCATGAGAAGGAAGAATATGTGGTTTTCACCCAGTAGTATAAACGGAATGTTTTTACAACAAAATTTAGACATGCTTAAGCCAATATACATTGATAAATGTCATAAACTACTTAGTATTACTTGTTTGAATCTTCCCATTGATGTTTAGGACTGCAACTGGTCAGTCTCTTATTGGCATATATGCATACTGTGCGTAATGCCTCGATAAAGCACAAGCAAGTGGCTATCAGGACTCAGTAGCTAAGTGGATAACGTGATGGCTTTTTAAGCGAACGGTACTGGGTTCAAGCCCCGAAGTGATCATCCCTGGGATACAGATACACCCAGCCGACTAGTCCCATATAGGAATAAACACGCGTTCTTGATTCCACTGCTAGCCACTATTCATCTTTGCTTAAGAATCGAATTTGTTTGTCTAACCTGACAACTATAAATATTTAAAATAGCTTGATTGGTTGAAATGAATAAGCATTGTCCATACTATAATTGGTTAAATAATTGTTAGATCAGAATAACGATTATATAACTGAGTCACAAACATAAGTCAAAGATGAAAAGTTGACCATTAAACAATTACTATAATAGAACTCAAACAAAACTAAGATATCAATAAAGTTATTTCCATTTTTTATTGAAATATTGTATAAGAATCAAATACACATGCTAACTTCCAATTATGTAAAACAAATCTTCTTATAGGTTTAAAACGGTGAAGTAATAAATTTAGAAAAATGAATATTTTCCGACAACAGTTTAATAATAATATGATTGCTAAAAACTATGCAAGAACAGTTCAATCAATTACTTGTATGTGAAAAGAAAATGAATAGAAAACTTTTAAGTTTTCAGACATCAACGATAAATGATACAAATGATATCCCACTTAAGAGTTCATCTGAAATTTGGGAGCTACAAAACCTGAATTTAAATCAACATATAGATGATATAAATGATATGTCCACGGAACAAAAAACGGAAATGCATGTACAACCAGAAAATATAAAAATATTTAGAGAAATGTCAGATAAAAAATTATCAGCTGATAAAGACAAATGTAATAACACGAAAAAACTCAACAATAAATTGCGCTTTCGTTATTATTCAGTAGGACTGTTAAATAGTTTACATTTATTGACTGCAGACTCAAATTGCAACATTGACACAACTAACAAAACATGCGCACCGATAAAACGTTTAAAACAACCACATACGCGTAGATATACTATCAACCTTCCAGAACAAAAAGATGAATTAAAATCTCTATCATTTAATGAAGTAGCATCATATATGGATATTGGTGGTGACAATTCTATTTTAAATGAAATCGAAGAACCATTATCTTTGGATATTAAAACTCCATATAGTCACCAACGTCAAAGTGTTATTAATAATAATATAGACAATAAGAGTAGTTTCCGTGAACGAGGATGGTCTTTGTACAACTTAAAAGAACAATTTATTTCATTCTTTCAACCATCGGATAATAAATTAGCTCTCAAATTATTTGGCAACAAAGTAGCCTTAGCATGTGAAAAACGTAGGCAGCGTGAACAAGGTAAATGGATCATACATCCATGCAGTAATTTTCGGTGAGTTACTCGAAATGTTTACTTTCTCATCTTATTATTGATTACACGATCCAACTTTATAATTCAACAGCATATATTTACTTTGAACTGAACAAAGATGTATATTACTGGTGTTAAACCTATTCGCTTTTGTAGTTTTTGCTACTTATGTAATTTATATAAACAGTATACATTATAGGAATTTAATTTACATTTATAAAACAACAAATGTTAAGCCATAGAGACTACTTTATTATCGACACAATCCCATACGCATTTTATAAAGTAAAATACAACATTCACTACTCGCCAGGATTTAAGTAACCATTGACTTATATAACCTACAAAGGACTCACTTTAAGATTTGTAACACTTTTGTATAATTAGGTTTATGTAACTTGACTAGTTTTTTGAGTATTACAATAACAGACTTCATTCCTTATGTAAAACATTTCATTTTAAAGTTTCATGAAAAAAGTCTATTTATTCTTTCATCGTATAACTAAATCAATTTAATAACTCAAAATTCTAATGGTAAATTAGTGAATAGTGTGTACAATCTCGTTAAACTTTTAAACCAATAATTAACATCAATAACTGAATCATAATTAATGAACACTTTATTTAATATATACTTATTTTATAAATTATCAATAGAATATTAAATGATATAAGACATTATGAAAAAAAAAAGGAAAATATTTGCATCAAAAATGTTTGTAGTTGATGAAAACGTTGTGAGGAAACAAACAAGTTTTAAAAACATCTAAGTAAATTTGGATTTCTTAGTTGTGTACTATAATTACGTTTTGGATATCATATTATAAATCCAATATAATTGATTTTTCTTTATATGATTTCCATGTTTACTAGCTTTTCACAGTTTCATAAATTTCGATTCTAATAGATTGTTACAATTTTTTCAACTCTAGGTTTCTTCAGTCTTTCCAATTTGTTTTGTTAGAAATCCCAAAATAAAACTGCTGTCTAATTACACATACGTATATTATTGATTTTATATCTCTTCTAAATAATTTTTAGACTAATAATTCGTGTTAATAGAATTAAGTTAAAGTGACTTTATCTACGCATTTCAGCTAGTATAAGTAGTTCTTGTATTTATTCACAGTTATATACCAGGTTAGATTGAACTCATCAATGTTCATATCATTTGTTACTTGTAAAATTTATGAGAATAATGTAATGCATGGAACATTAGTTTTCCTCAAAAACTTGTCACATTGGATATTATTGTAATTTCAAACATAATTGATTACTTGCTATACATACCCATATCTGTAGCTGCTAATAAAACTATTATGATTTGGCAACATCAATGTGCTTCTCCCTATTTACATCCTCACAAGTAAGACCATTCTAAAATAATATACATTAAACAATTTCATACTTTTCCTATGTTGGTGGTCACTGTGTAATGTTTCAAAGACAATCAAGAAAGTCCAAAATGGATTGTGCTGCCATCCCCATATAAACATTAGTTGTGTGATACTTGAAACCGGTAGTTGGTTAATTCAATTGGTGTTTTTCCCAGGCTAGAAGCTAATAATGCTGCAAAACTGTTGGTTGTTCGCTTAATTATTTTTTTTCAGTTCCAAGGTTTAGATAAGAGTTATGTGGTGCTATATCTCTTATTCTATTGGGCCTATGCGGAATATGTCACACAATTTTGTTTATTTAGGAATATCTATCGAGTATAGTGATATCACCAATTATTAGAAACAAATTTATGAACATGGTTGTTAGGTTCCATAATCATACACCGACAAAAGTGATGCTCGTAGTGCTAACTAGAAAGATAACAGGAACTATCTCAAAACCACATGTCTTAGAAGAAACGGAAAATTCAAAGTGAATGAAAAACTTTTACATTGAAGCAAAATATCATAAGAATCTATTCGAAAACGATATCAAATTAATTTTATTAAATAAATTATTTTTCATATTTTTGTTTTCAGTGTGATTGTTTGCATACTTGATTCTTTAAACGCTCAGATTAATGAGTTATGTGTACTAAAGATTAAGAAAAATCGGTAGTTACGTCTTCATTAAGTACGTTTGTTCCAAAACACATGAACGTTTGCGGAATAAAAAATTCAAGATAGTGAAAAGTACATTTATATATTAAGAATTTGTTTTACTGACTACTTAATTGGTTATCGATTCGTAAATTTTAGTGGAAAGTTAAACTGCAAAATTTAGTCAAATAACAACACTGGATTTGGGTTATGATGATGCATTGTCTCTGGGTGAATACGCAAACCAAGAAAATATTAATCCATAGTCAGAAAAAATAGTATTGTTTATGGAACCCAAAGAGTTGTGTAGCTCTATTCTGGATAAAGTTTTTGACGTGGATCGATTGATATTTCTCTGCTAAAATAAATGGATCATGAAGTTACACATTAACTAAATAGTTCACCGAATGACACTTTTCTGTCAAGAAAACTGCCGATATTCCGTCTAATTAGTTAAAAGTTAACATTAAATGTTGTAACTGAGAATTTGATTAACTTATTAAATAAATTATTTATATAAGCTTAAAATTTCGTAGCTTTAATATTCGTTTTCTGTTACTAATGAATATTTTACCATTGGTATTACTAGATATCATTTCATTTCATGCTTATTTCTTTTTGTTTTTAAATTAAGTGTACTTTTCTGTGTAATAAATGGAATGTACCTACTTATTGTATGTCCGACTGTTCATCGTAAATGAAATGATTTTATAAAAAAGACCTTACACTTCTAAAGTTAATTTAAAGGTTATTCCTAAATTAATAGATAGATTTAACATATTTAATCTACATTTATGTATCATTGTAAGTGTATAATGTTGCTCGATGTTTATGTTATTTAGGATTCAGGTTATTAAAAATAAAGCGTAATTTCCAAATATACAATATAAAGTGAAAGGCGTATAGGTAAGAACGTTTTCAATTGTTTGTTATACGTTTGATCAACTTATTTGAAAAATCTAATAAATCATTATTATTTTCACAGTTGAAATCATGAGTCAATTGAAGCTAGACCACCATCGAAAACCTGGAAGCACTGGACGGCCGTTTCGTCCTATTATGGGACTCCTCAGCAGTGCGCATCCACGAACCCGCACCCACGAGATTCGAACCCAGGACCTACCAGTCTCGAGCCGGAGCCCTTAACCGACAGACCACTGAGTTGGCATCCAACGGTGTTAATGTCTAACTTCAACCAATCCACGATTTTGAGCGACCGTTCACCAATTGTCTTCAGTGAGATGATATCTCTACAACAGACCTGGTAGAACTGGTAGGTCGTGGGTTCGAATCTCGTGGGTGCGGGTTCATGGATGTGCACTGCTGAGGAGTCCCATAATAGGACGAAACGGGCGTACAGTGCTTCCAGGTTTTCGATGGTGGTCTAGCTTCAATTGACTCATGATTTCAACTGTGAAAATAATTATTAATTGATTAATGGAAATGTATAAAATGTGTAGTTATGTATAATTTCACTAAAGTACATAGTATCATTCACATAGCGTTACTAAATCTTACTTTCTAAGTAAATTTGTGTCAACGCTTAATACAACGTTTATAATAATATTTCATGAAATTTATTCAGTAGTAGTTACAAGTAGGGCAAGACAATTAACATTGACCATACCGAAAGAATTACAAATTTATATTAATGTTATTTTAAGTATAGTATTATTTTTATATAAAACAATATTCCGAAATTTCCTTACTAAAATTAAATTAAGACACAGATATTCCGTTTACAATATCCTTTTACACTTAAATGGTTCAGTTGAGGAGTTTCATTATTCCGTGAAAATCTAAGTAAATTCAAGTATTCACCTTAAACATAAAGTGTCATCACACAATATTATTCTGAGGTATAAGATAACTGACTAGAAAAATGGATAGCACATTTACATTGAGAAAACCAGTATTCTTAAGTTTTCAATACTTCACCTACTATATTTATAGTCAAGATCACTGAATTTTTTAGATGTTTTATAATACTTTGCTTACTTTTCTCATATGAACTTTAAAAGTAGTGGGTTTATGATACTTATACAGGACAATAATACAATTATCTCATCAGTGAAAAAATGAACCTACCCTTAAGAGAATCCCTCGTGCATCATGAAATCTACATATTTGGTGAACAGATGTAATGAAATAACTTCATTTACCATTTTATCCATCTGCCTTCTTTTCCAGTTTATTCCCTTCTAATCCATCGATTCTAGCTTCGATAAACGTAAACCGTAAATACCAAAGGATTTCTCCATAAAAAACTTAGTCATACAATCAATTTTTAAGATCATAGGCGTATAGTAAATATTTTCCAGCTCATGAATAACATCTGACTAAACAAATTTATCTTAACGAACTATAATTCTAAAAAACAGTGTGAAGTTCAATTTAATACGAAAGGAAAATGTTTGTCATCGTCGAATTAGGACGAAAAGCATCCAGTCCTTTACTGTCTTATAATATCCAATTCAATGACAAGTTACTTTTTAATCAAATATTGAGTACAATAGCTGATTACTGACTGGCGAAACGACAGTGTTATCAGTACTATCAACGCTTCTCACGTTCTTTCTTTTACAAAACGAATTCATCATGACCAACTGTTGTCAGTGGCTGAGTAATTGCTGTCATAATTTCCCAGAGATATACGACGAAATATACCACATATGTATGATATATGCTTGCGGATAATGTATTTTTTTTAGCATCCATACATTGTTTTAAGTTAGCAATCATTCCTAACTAAAAAGCAAATCTTGGTCAATGTATATGGTGATCGATAGATTATCAATTTCGAGTATAGTGAAAACCTGCATTTAGTTTCTTTAGTTTCTTATATATATAAATTAGAGCAAATAGTTTCACAGTATTTGAGCGCCGAGTTGATGTAAGAAATTAAATAGGAAGAATATAATTGTAAAATCTCAGAGAATGAATTTGAAGTAAATCCAACGTTTAGCCTGGCAATCTGGTCCAAGC